AAGTTGAGGGACATGCAATACACAATTCAGGTTAAGGCCATTGGGAAGAGATATGGATCCTTGGCCTGCAATGGAGGAAAAAGAACCATCTGCAAGTCTCACTCTATCCCTTCCTGACAAAAGGCTATAAGACTGAAACAAGTTCGGCTTACCGGTCATGTGGTTGGAGGCCCTTGAGTCAATGATCCAAGGGGAATCCGTGGGAGTGACGTGGAATGCAGAAGCCGTATTACTTGAAGTAGATGCAAATGAAGTAGAGGAAGTACCAGTGACTGAACTGTCCATTTGCCGCAAAGCCCTACCATAAGATTCCAGGTGCTCTCTGAAGGAATTCATTATATCTTCCTTGGGGTCAGACTTATTAGGGTGGTCCCGGGTACTACCGGCGACCTGAGTATCTTGGGTTGCCACATGTGTTGTGTTCATTTTCTTCTTACCTTAACCTTTACCCTGTTCTTGATTCTTTGTTGCCCACTTGGGTTTACCGTGGATGTCCCAACAAGTGTCACGTTGACGGGTTGTCGAAGCCCTCAGATTTAATTCTAGTTCCACTCTACGAGTAAAATTGTAGTAATAGTGGTACCAGGTCGAATCCCACAGGGAGCAAGTAATTAATTTCTCAGCCAAGCGCACAATTTAAAGAGTGGGAATTTCAAATAATTAAATTTCTAAACAATTAACACAAAATAGCAAATAACAATTAACAAGGAAAATTTCAGTCTTACCAAACTCTGATCCAARGGTTCAATTTGAGTCAATTGATCACTGATCCTAGGCTAAAAATAGCRATCTTGCAATTCAAGCATTTAACTTTTAGATTTATTAGGATAGCTATAATAAACCTTATACCTTCCTAGTTTAGTTGACCAAACCTAGCATTCAATCAACACTTATCATTAACCGACTGGGCACGATAGCATTCCATATCAATTAATGATAGCAATACATTTTATGAAAACAGTTAAAACAAAATAAAAATAATTGAGATAGCTGCAATTATTAAATTTTGTTCCGTTGATTCCCTTTAGGTCAAAACATGCCAACACATTGGTCAAAGGCTATCACGAACAATTGACCCACAAAGATATTGACCTAATTGCTACTTGTACCACTATTCGTGACAATTACAGATCACCGAATCATGGATAGCCGTAGGAAGATCAATATTAATTAATTTGTTAGATTAATCATCAACTTCCATAAAAATATGCAGAAGAATAAACAAATACTTGAATTAAAGGCAAGAATTTAAATTAAGCACATAACCTCACGGTGACACAATTGAACCAAAAATTCCCCTTGAATCAGAAAAGAGAAGCACAACCACTCTTGGTTGTCATCTCCTTGCTGCCACCTTCCTCTTTTTCTCCTTCTTGCTTTGCTTCCAAGATGGATTGA